GCCCGGACGCGGCCCTGCGGCCCTCCGTCCTCGCCCAGACCCGACGGGCTGACGACCCACGGCTCACCTCAGTGTCCACTCCGAGGGCCATTTGCGAATTTCCCAGTCAGCTATCCTACTGCAGAATTTTTGATGCACAATTTTTTTGCACTAGTGTGTGACGGACGGCCGAGTAAGATTCTGATAACAAATATTCACACAGGGTTTACACACACTGTCCACTGTACATAAGCACCCGCTCGTCCCCGCCAGCTGGACCCCGACCACCAGTTCAGCCGACGCGTTAGAAAAAGAAGAAAAAAAAAAAAACCCAGACGCGGAGCAGGTTTTTAAAGGAAATAATGGTATCGAAGAGATTTATTTTATTAGTGCTTCTTTTAGCTACATGTACGTGTCGAATTTGTCCGATGAGACGAAGAAGAGGCCTTCGACTCCCCACGTCCCTCCTCCCGGCCCGCCGCCCGGGCCCGGTCCAGCGGGCTCACAGCGACCTCCGTCTGCCGTGTAAACATGTGAATAGTAATTTATTTTAGTAGCTCGTGAACCCGTGGGTTCGGCTCACAGAACAGCCGTCCCTCTGGCGTTGAGTGCGTTTTCTCTCGTGTGCTGTACCTGGTGTCACATCGGAAGGCGGCACCCCCGGGAATGAATACCTTGAACTCACTGCAAACTGTCCGGGATCCAACGTACCACGTGTTTCTTTGCAAAGCAAAACCACACGCGCTCCTCTCCCCCGACGATGTGTTTGTATTTCATTTGCCTTTTGTTTCATGCTGTATAATTCCAGGGGAAAAGAAAGTTTCCGCGATTTCTTTCAAGTTGAGATTTAACATCGGTCAATTATAAATCACGGTCCAAAGTAGCCATGATGCCCAATGCGGAGAAAATCGAAACCTGACAGAGAAGACGTGGCGGTGAGAATGTTTCCGTCGCAAACCCAAAGCGAAGACCGTGTTCGTTTCTGTCTGTAACTGCTCGATGGAAAGATTCTGAACAGACGGTTATGTCATGATTCGGGTTGTCGGTACCTCCTCCACATGCTGAAAACCTTCCCCAGCTCACAGTCCAGAGGGGCACGGGCGGAAGCGTCTGGGGCGTCGCCGCCTTCGCCGTGGTGAGCGCGTTCACACCCGGCTTTCACACGGGCGTGTCTGCCGCGCGTGTAAACACAGGACTTCAGAAGCGCATGATGAACGAGAAGCCGTGGGGATGGCGGGTGCCGCCCAAGCCGGGCGTGCCGCTTCGAACGCCTCGGCGTCCCCCGTCCTGGTCCTCGTGAGCAGGGGGTGCGCCGCGGGGAAGGCACAGCTGACCTCTTCTAGATCCTTCTCTGCCTTTTCAATTCCGTCGTCTTATGCCGAATTCTCTGCACGTAGCTCAGAGGCCAAGCTGACAACGTGGCTGGAGGTTTGCTTGGCCGCCTGGAGCCTCGCACTGGGTGAGGTCGGCCAGAGCCAGGCGCCCGACGCCCATGGGACAGAGACACGTGGCGCACGTGAGGGCGCGGGCACCGCGCGGAGGGAACAGGGTCGCCGTGTGTGTGAGGTGTACATAGACGTCCGTATAAATACACTGTACATATATCTGAGTTTGAGTCACTCAAACTAGGTGCAAACGCTGACTTCCGAGTCCGAACCGGTGTCTCTCCCCCGACATTCCCGACCTGCTCGCTGGCCACCGACGCTCCGGAACCCGAGGGGACAGCACGTCCGCACGGGAAGCCACCCGTCAGCTTAGGGGTCACTTCCCTTGCGTGCACAATCAAACCGCCCTTCGGCTGTGAGATTGGGGCCTGTCATTTAAACCAGGAAGCCCCAGGGGACCCCCCCACCCCCCGCCGCGGGCCGCTGGGCTGGGGACAGACGCCTTCCCGCCACGGCGGGACGCGGGGGGACGCGAGGGGACCCCGCGCGGACACAGGTCACGTGCTTCGGAGCTGTTCCAAACCGCTGCTTCTTCACACGTCTTGCCTTTCTCCAGGCTAGCTGCAATAATTTTTTTCTTCTGTAAAATATTTTGTAAACAACGACAAAAAAAGCTATTATAGACAAGAAGAAAAGGAAGGTGGCGTCCGGATCAGGAGCCCGTCGCCCCGTCGCGCCCACGCTGCTGCCATGAGTAGGTGCAAAAGACCTTTTTGTACAGAGATATATTTTTTATGGAAAATTTGTAAAATTATTAAATATGCTGTAATTTTTTGATTAATGTAGGTAAATTGTTAAAAAAAAATTCAATGTTTTTACAACACAAAACTGTAATTTTCCCAACGATGTACATCGTACCGTCTCTAGCTGATTTTCAGTTACAGCCCTATCACACATGTATTAATATTAAAGTGGCCTGTTAAAACGAACAGTATCTTTTTTGTCAAAAAAAAAAAATTATAAAGAGAGCGTAATATAGCCTGTGCAATGCCACCTATCTTTAAAGCGAATCAGAGTTCTAATTAAATATTTAATTTTAGATTTCTATTTTCGGCGTGATTTCTTGGTGCTTTGCTGTGAGCCCCTGCGTCCGGCGGGGGCGGGCGTGTCCGTGGCGCGCTGTCACCGTGTTCTGAGGCAGGCTCACGATTCCTCCCCCACCCCCAGAGACCGGTCACCGTGACGACGTGCGGGCAGCCGGCAGGAGGAGCCAGGATGCCGAGAACAGCGGCGCCGACGCGGACAGCTTCCTCGATGGTTTGCCTTAAAATCCACGAGAGTTTTCGGTCCCCTCCGAACCAAAATCAGGCCTCTATCTCTATGATAAAAAAATCTCGGGATAACACCGAAAAGCAGCGTGGTGGAAATCAGGCATGTCGGGGGGAGCCTTGCAAACCTCGCCCTTGAAGAAGCGCAGAAACGCCACACTCACGGCCCCTCCCGCCGCAGCCTCCGCCCTCCGGCCGGCTCTGGGCCACGCAGAGGGTGCGCCAGCCCTTGGCGGCCATCCAGCTGAGTGCCTGGCGGCTAAACGGGGTGACTAATTCTCCTGAGAGTCCAGTTATCACAAGATGAAAACACCCAATAAAAATACAGCCATGCAGGGGCCTGTCACCCGCCTGGAGGCCAGGCGTGCACAGATCCACGGGTGTGTGAGCCGCGTGGGCTGAGGCCCTGCCGGGCTCAGGGCACCCTCCCACGTGACCCGCACGCACCCAGACGAGCCTCTAACCTGCCGGGTCGGCCTCACCTTTCCCATCTTACGGAAGATGAAGCAGAAATTCAGAGAACTGAGCGCGCTTTCCCAGAACGCACAGCGAGGCAAGGCTGATAAAGATCAGGTCCCGCCCATTTCAACGTCCTTTTCACTTAAAACGCACGTCGTTCAGTTCATCTTCGTTCCCTTTTTCTGTAATTACAATGTGTCTGTCCTTCTAACGGGAAATGCTTTTCGTGCTTTGTTTGGTTAGCGATTACGGAGGTTAAGAATTCCAGGAGAAATAAACACTCCGTATGATCAGTTTTATATCCGCCTGAGTCACTCCGACATGACATGGTCTCGAGAAGTACCTCGAGCGACCAGCAGTGGGACTTGGGAGCCCCGCCACTGTCCTGTGGGTCTGACACATCGAAGCCACGTGCGAGCTTTACCCTCCAGTGAGCTCTGTACCTGTCCATCTGCAAAACTGACCTGACACTTGGCCCTAAACACCTGTTTCCCGTGTGGGGCACTGAGCGCATGGCAGACGTCCTGCCTGCCAGGGACAGGTCCTCACAGAGCTGCGGACTCTGAACCAAGCCTGCTGTGCTGTCACACTCACTGCCGGGGACCCGGAAGGACTGTGAGCGTTCCACGTTCTCACTGGTCCCGAGGGGGGGGCCCAACGCAGTGAGACAGTAGTGCGATCCGAGCAGTGGCTCTTGACAATGACAGATGCATCTCAGGTGCTCTGGCCTTGGTGGGGCTGTCGTAGAGTTGGAGGGCTTTCCGGTTTAGTGAGTGAAGCAAACTGTCCGCCGAGGCTGCTGACAAACATGGCCCGTCCCTCTCCCCTCGTGGCGGCCCAGCTGCCCCGAGGGAGCCCCCCATGGCAGTCCACGTGCATGGATGTCAAGCACATCCCTGAGCCAGGACAAACTCCTCCGCAGGGGATCTGTGCCTTGAAGGGGGTGACACAAACGTGGGACGCGTCTGGCCAAACCAATCCCATCCTCGCCCACCCCACCAGCTGTCCCTCCGTGTCACCTGCCTTCATCCCACGCCTAGCCCTGGGTGTTCTCCTGTGACCTGGGATGACCTGGGAGTACCCCATACCTCATGATGACATTTTTCCCCTTTAATTACCCAGACGGGGACTTTTGCTGACGAAGAAGGAACTAAACAGTTGCGATCGCACCCACAGCTTTCACGGCATCTGCACCCCGTGCTGCGGCTGACAGCCCTTGCAGCCACGAAACACCGCCCCTGAGCTTAGGGTCTCTAAATGTGTGTGACAGCAGATGACCAAGTGACACGAAAGTACTCGGGGTGGCTGGGGGAGCTACTAAGGGCGTCCCGTGCCGTATTTGCCACACTGTTCAGATGGCATTTTTCGTTGGCTTATTATTATTATTATTTTTTTTAATGCCTACAGCACCTGGTATTCCCAGGTGGTCTCCCATCCATG